AAGAGTTTCATGGGCTGAGGGCGGGTGGTTGTCAAAATATGGCTCTCGCTCTAGCGCCACGCACATTGCTTTCTTAACAATGCAGCAGTCTCACGGATTGAGTGCATGCCGTTTTCAACATGTGGTTCTCGCCTTAGCGTCCCGCACATCCGTCTTAATCATCGCAAGGGCTGCAAGAATTGAGGGCGGGCCGTTTTCAAACTATGGCTCTCGCCTGTTTCGAGCGATTTAGGATTGCCAGTGCGCAACAGTTACTTTGATTCGCGGTGGCGGATAGTCAAGACGCAATAGACTGGTTGATTCGTGGCGTTGAAGTCCTGGGTATGATCTGTTGGCACGCTTCAGGATTTTCGCACGGTTATCTCCCAACGGGGCAGCATTACCTTCAGTGGAAGTGAATATCTGTATGGAGTCTATGAAGAGGGAGCTGGGAGGAAGGGTGTATCCCAACATCGTTGAGTAGTCTTGGGTTTACATTGAGCCTCCTCCTCTTCCCTCTCCTCCTCCTCCTCCTCTTCCTCCTCCTCCTTCTCCTCCTCCTCCTCCTCCTCCTCCTCCTCCTCCCCCTCCTTCCCCGAAGGGGTAGAAGGGGCCCCCCCGAACGGGAAGAAGGGACATTGGAAGAAGTGGATATGCGGTGTGGGGCCGACGGCAGGCAGAGGGGAAGCCAGGGAGATAGACAGGTGGGAAGAAGCGGCCCTGCTTGGGGTTCATTCCTCCTCCTCCTCCTCCGACCCCTCCCCCTCCCCCTCCTCCTCCTCCTCCTCCTTCTCCTCCTCCGTCTCCTCCCTGTACCCCCCCCTCGTCGCCTGCCCTCTCCGTCGTCTCCGACTTCGGTGGCGGCGTCGGCGTCGTTGCCGGCGTCGGCTCCTCGTCGGCGCGGTGATCGTCGCCGTCGTCGTCGGCGTCGGTGGCGTCATGGCCCTCCTGCTGGTCTCGGCGGCGAGCCCAGGGGTGGTAAGTGAGAAGGGGCGGGCCTTCTCAGCAGGCTCGGAAGCCTCCCGGCCTCCTGAGAAGTCTCTAACATTTTTTCCCCGCAGAAACAGAACACTCCCCGGACGGCCCGAGGCCTCGTGGTGAGAAGCCCCGCCGCCGCCTCCTCCTCGCTTCCCCCCGTCGCCCGCCGCCGATGGTGGTAGTCGCGACCATCGTCGTCGTAGTTGTCGTCGTCGTGGTGGTGGTCGCGATCGTCTAGGGGGCCACATGCGAACCTTACCCCTACCCCCCAGGATTTCTGAGGGGGAGGGTGGGGTTCACTTCGTTCGGGAGCTCCCGAGCGAAGTGAACCCCACCCTCCCCCTCGGAAATCGTGGGGGTAGGGGTAGGGTTCGCCTGTGGTCGCGATCGTCGTCGCCGTCGTCGGCGCCGACCTCGTGGTGTCTGCGCGTCGTGCGCCGCCCGCGGCGTTTTTGGCGGGCGGGCAGGACGTGCCCGGCCACCCGCGGCCTTCAAGTCGCCGAGGAGCCCGAGCGGCAGCGCCGGCGCCCTCGCCGCCATCTCCGAGGATCGTGGGCAGCATGGGTCGGCTAGACGTAAGAGTGACCTTTCGCCGGAGTGACCTTTGGTGCGGGCCCAGTCGGGCCCCCTAATCGCCGAACGCGATGCGATAGTGGCGTCTTGCGCGCCCGTGTTTGGCCCCCCGCGGCCCCCAAAAAGCCGCGCACCAAAGGTCACTCTTACCCAGGGTCACTCCTGCGTGTAGCCGAATGGGGAGGGAGAGGGGGGCAACGGCAAGGTCGAGGAGCGAGGTTCGATATTTTTTTAGCGTTGTGGCCACTGTTGGGCATCCAGGGGCCCCTTTGTGACGTCCTGGGAGGAAGCGGGTGGATGAGCAGCGAAGGGGGAGAAGGGGGAGGAGCGAGCATGAGGATGAGGATGAGGATGAGGCGCAGCCGCAGCCGTGCAAACCGCGGAAGAGGCGCTGGCGGCCGCGCGGCGCTACCTCGAAGACGGCCGTCCCTCAGCGCGGCCGCTATCCGTCACGGTCGTCCAGGGCATAGCAGGCGTGGCATATTTTCGACACCATACGGGGTGCGCAGGGGGTGGTCCCTCAGCGCGGCCGCTATCCGTCACGGTCGTCCAGGGCGTAGCAGGCGTGGCAGATCCTCGACACCACAGGGCGGGCTCAGGGGGTGGTCCCTCAGCGCGACCGCTATCCGTCACAGTCGTATTCTCGACACGACAGGGGGTGCGCAGGGGGTGGTCCTTCAGCGCGGCCGCTATCCGTCACGGTCGTCTAGGGCCTAACAGGCGTGGCGCACTCTCGACACCATAGGGGGTTCGCAGGGGGTGGTCCCTCATTGCGGCCGCTATCCGTCACGGTCGTCTAGGGCATAGCAGGAGTGGCATATTCTCGACACCGTGGGGGGTGCGCAGGGGTGGTCCCTCAGCGCGGCCGCTATCCGTCACGGTCGTCCAAGGCAAAGCAGGCGTGGCAATTTCTCGACACCAGAAGGGAAAGCGCAGGGGATGGTCCCTCAGCGCCGCCGTTATCCGTCACGGTTGTCCACGGCGTAGCAGGCGTGGCATATTCTCGCCACCACACGGGGTGCGCAGGGGATTGTCCTTCAGCGCGGCCGCTATCCGTCACGGTCTTCCAGGGCGTAGCAAGCGTGGCATATTCTCGCCACCACACGGGGTGCGCAGGGGATTGTCCTTCAGCGCGGCCGCTATCCGTCACGGTCTTCCAGGGCGTAGCAGGCGTGGCATATTCTCGACACCATAGGGGAAAGCGCAGGGGGTGGTCCCTCAGCGCGGCCGTTATCCGTCACTGTCGTCCAGGGCATAGCAGGCTGGTTGTCTTCCTCCTCCTCCTTTTTTCCCGTGTGCCTTGCTCTCTCCGGCATGGATCCTGTCTCACCGTGTGTCCCTCCCTCCTCCTTCCCCCTTTCCTCTTCCCCCTCCTCCCCCCGTCGAACTCGCCCAGACACTTCAGTTTCCCTTTGGCACGGCATGTCAGGCCTCCAAGGCTTGAACCGCGCCGCCTTCGATGTCGGCGAAGCAACGGCCGCGAGCAACGAGCTCGCAATTTCCGCGTCAGCTATCATCACGCAAGACACATGATAAGTATGTGGGTTTTCAGTATCTCAATATGTTATGCGTATTATTATTCATCTTACTACTATTATTATTTTTATTACTACTAGTATTACTAGTATTTTTTGTTACTCTTATTTATTATTATTTATTATCATTATTTATTATTACTAGTAGTATTAATTATTACCATTATTATCATTACTATTCTTATTATCCGTAAGGGCTTCGCCCCCTGCCGCCGGCCCCCTCTCTCGGAGAATGGGCCATGGAAGAGCAAAGTCATGAGGCTTTGGCTTCGCCGTGAAGCAGTGTCGGGACTTGTTTGTTTTTCGACCCTGACCCTGCGGATCTGCGTCACGGGTGCCACCGAATTTCAGAAATGCGGCAAATCCTTGTTGTTTCTGTGCCCTACCGATCTGCGTGGTGAGGGGTGCCGCCGGATTTCAGAAATGTGGCAAATCCTTTATGTTTTTGGACCCTCACCCCGCCGATCTGCGTGAGGGGTGCTGCCGAATTTCAGAAATGTGGCAAATCCTTTGTGTGTTTTTGGACCCTGACCCCGCCGATCTGCGTGATGGGGCGCAACCGAATTTTTAGAAATGTGGCGAATCCTTTGTGTTTTTGCACCCTGACCCCGCCGATATGCGTGAGGGGTGCCAATTTTACCCACCCCAGCAATTCAGACAACACGATTTGGGCATGGTAAGAATGCCCGTTTTGGGCCTCCCCCCCTCGCGCAGTCAAAGAACAGCCAGCAGCAAGAAGTCGACAAGGAACAGTAAGCAGCAAGAAGCATAATTGTAACAGTGGTAACTGGAAGTTGCAACTGGCACAGGGAATTGCGAACCTCCAGCCTACAGCCAGGTGGCCCCGCAAGGGGGCCGGCGGGTTATTATTATTATTTTTATTATCATCATTATTACTATTATTGTTATTAATGCTATTATTATTATCATTATTATTATTATTGTTTTCTTGTTATTATTATCACTATTGCGACTAGTACCAGTGGGACGAAGAGAAACCGCGGTGAGGGACCATCTCTTGCGCACCTTCTGAGGCGTAAGGAAAGTGCCACGCCTGCCACGCCCCGCGACCTTGGGACGGAGAAAGACCGAGGTGAGGGACCCCTCCTGCGCACCCCGTGTGGTGTGGAGAGAGTACCATGCCTGCCACGCTCCGCGATTTTGGGACGGATAGAGACCGCGTTGAGGGACCACCCCCATACGCACCCCCTGTGGTGTGGAGACAATGTCACGCGTGCCACGCTCTGCGACCCTAGGACGGAAAGAGAGACCGCGTTGAAGGACCACCCCCTGCGCACCCCTTCTGGTGTCGAGAAAGTGCCACGCCTGCCACGCCCCGCGTCCCTGGGACGTGTAGAGACCGCGTTGAGGGACCACCCCCATACGCACTTCTTGTGTTGTGGAGAAGGTGCCACGCCTGCCACGCTCCGCGACCCTGGGACGGATAGAGATTGCGGTGAGGGGCCACCCCCTGCGCACCCCGTGTGGTGTGGAGACAATGCCACGCCTGCCACGCCCGGCGCCCTTGGGACGGATAGAGGCCGCGTTGAGGGACCCCCCTTTGCGCACCCCTCCTGGTGTCCAGAAAGTGCCACGGCTGACGTGCCTTGCTCCCCATCCTCTCCTCCCTCACCGAGAGCGTTCCACTACTCTCAAAGTGCCTACTCGATGTCATGGAGCGTGAACCCCCCGCGGCGGGTTCTTCCCATTTGCGAGCAGCTACTTTGCGAGTGGTGGAACGCGCTTGTCGATCCCTCTCCCCCCTCCCCGGTCCCCTCTTGCTGCTCGGGTGTGCTTGGGGGAACGAAATTTGACATAGACATAAAGACTCGGAGGTCCGCGCGGATTTCTTGCATCTGCGCTGGACCCCCCTCCCTGGCGCGAGGAGCTCGCCAGGGGCGGCGCCGGAGGCGCCGCCAGGGGGCCCCGGCGCCGATGCGAGAAGTCCGCGCGGACCTCCGATGTACCATGTTTATGTCTCTGCTCGTTCCCCCAGCGTTGCCGGAGCAGTGAGAGGCCAGGTCGTGGCTCTCGGTTCGCTCGGGGGCCCCCAAACGGTGCGGTGACCACACCGTGCGGCGAGTCGGTGGGGATTCGGGGTCGCCGCACGGGTTCGGGACTCGGGCCGTTCTCCGAGGGCGTCTCGGGCGACGGGGGCCTCCCGGGTCCCGAGACCGTGCGGTGACGGAGCGTGCGGTGAGGTCTCTTAGGGGTTCCGAGAGGTCGCCGCACGGCCCGTCGCCGCAGCGTTGCGGGACTCCAAAGTGCGCGCTTTGGGCGGGCGGCGTCGCCCGCAGGAGGGCAGCAGCGAGGCCAGCGACGGCGAGCGCGGCACGGCCCCGAGGGGCGCCGACCCCGTGGCGGAGGCCGCGGCCGAGGCGTCCCCCCCCCGCCGCGGGCCGTCGGCGCGGCCTGAGGCGAGGGAAGAAGCGCGGGGACCACGACCGAGATTGCGCGGGGTCTCTTGCCGATGCCGACCTCGAGACCTCGAGGAAGGATTTGTGATGACGGCGTGGTCCTTTGCTTCGCACGATGTCTTGTTTTGCTTGCTGTGGCAATGCAGTGACAGCGCATGGTCTCCTCCAATGTGTGGGACTGCGTGTCCCTTTCGCCTGCCCTCCAGAGGACCGCCCCCCGAGGGCCGGAATGCGGGCCTGTCTGTCTGTATGTCTGTCTTGCCGATGCCCATCTCGGTCGTGGTCCGTGTTGGCCTTGGTCGGTTCTCGAGTGGATCGTCCACATTGATCTAAACGCTGGCCAGGATGGACGGTGATCAAGGTCGACACGACGTTTTCGCGTTCGGTCTGGGTCGTTGGTTCCAGTTCTTTCTCCTCCCCACGGACCCGGATCGGGAGCAGGAGCACGAGGAGGAGGAGGAGGAGGAGGAGGAGGAGGAGGACGAGGACGAGGACGAGGAGGGGGAGGAGGAGGGGGAGGAGGCGGAGGAGGAGAAGGAGGAGGAGGAGGAGGACGCAGGACGCAGGATAGAAAATGGAGTCATGTGAGCACGAAACCATCTCTGAGCCAAAGGGAATATGGAAGCACGACTTAAGAGGTAAGCGGTGCTGCGTGCGAGGTCAGACCACCATCACACGCCTCAGAGACCCAACGAATTCAACTAAAGCTTAGCTCCAGTTGCTGGGTGCCGCCGGTCGACGAGCCAGCCCCTGGCTCTACGGCGGGCGGGGTTCGGGGGGCGCGAGGGGCAGACATCCCCTAAGGGCATCGATTTTGGGAGAACCGATGGCCACACGAGCCCACAACGAACACAGAACAAATATGGCCCCGAACGCTGGACCTTATGGCCATCACATTCAAAGAGGGTCCCAGTCCCCACCGCCCTGTCGGCAGCAGCAGCAGCACCCCCCGCAGCCTCCCCGTCCCCTCGGGCACGCCACCCGAGCCGCTCAACAGCTAGAGCGAGAGCCTGAAGCATGGGCGACGGGTCACACTTGGCCCCTGGCTTCAAAAGCGTCTTCACACTGGCAGGGGACCGAGCCACGGCCAAACAACGCCTAAATTGCAACGCGGACGATCCAAGAACCAGGGGGACGGGGTCATGGGCGATAAGGACGAGCACATCGCGCCTCTCTGGCACCAGCTTGGGCGGAGGAGGGTCCGAGTCCTGGGCCTCAGGACGAGCACAAATCAACTGCACCGCCCTCGACAGGAACTCAACTGCACACTTGCACTCTTTGACAGAACGCTGGAGGGCATCGACCGCGACCTGTGCGACAGCGATGTCCCTAGCTCCGAGCTTCGCGAAAAAATCGGCCCAAGCATTTCCCATGAATCGGTGGATCTCCTCGGCCGACGCTCCCTCGTCGACCAGTTGCTCTAACAACCGATGCGCGGGAGTCCAGACCATCGACGGCCGTGAACCCGACCGCTCAGGCAGCCTAAACATCTTTTGCCAGATCGACGCGTGGAGCGCGAGGCCGCTCTCAAGGTCAGAGTCCCGGCGCTGGCCCTCGCGAACAAAGCTGAGGTGATCATTAATTATCGTGATTCAAAGGGCGCACGCGCATCGCCTCAAGGCCAGCCCAGCGCTCGCCCCGAGGTACTGTTTGAAATGGTCCCGGCACCCCTCCGAATTTCGCTGGGAGTGGCCAGCCATCCTCCGTGATCTCAACCACGCTCCAACCGCACCTCGCCGCCTCGGGACACGCGCCCGCCAACCCGCTGCAGTCGGTGAAAAGGAGCGGGCCCCAGGTGCCTTCCGTGAGACCCCAATGCAGCACGGGAGGATGGGACAGCGGCGGCGGCAGCCTAACAAGGATTTGAGGGAGGCCGTACAAGAGAGGAACCACAACAAAATCCGACCCCCCAGGAGGAGGAGGAGGAGGAGGAGGAGGAGGAGGAGGAGGAAGAGGAGGAGGAGGAGGGAGAGGATAGGAGGAGAGGAGGAGGATAAGGAGGAAGTGGGAGGAGGGGGAGGATGGATGATGCATGATGAAGATGATGAATTGAGGAGGAGGAGGAGGAGGAGGAGGGAGGAGGAGGAGGAGGGAGGGAGGAGGGAGGAGGGAGGAGGGAGGGGAGATAGGAAAGGAGGGAATGGGTGATTAAGGGGGTAGAGGGGGATGGAGGGGGAGGAAAGTGGTAGGAGGGGAGGAGTAGGATGGGGATGATGAGGAGGAGGGAGGAGGAGAAGAGAGGAGGAGGAGGGAGGCAGAAAGGAGGGATGAGGAGGAGGAGGAGGAGGAGGAGGAGGAGGAGGAGGAATAATACTAAGAATATTAATAATACTAAGAAGAAGCATAATCATAATAATAATAATAATAATAATACTAATACTAATAATTATTCACTGCGTGGAGCTCCCCATATGTGCATCTACTCGCATGGACCTGTCCGCCGTGAATGTCTAGGCGCAAGAGCTTTCGAATATTAACGGGCTTCAGTTGTGACGGTCTGGACATCAATCTAACTGCGAATGAATTGGAGTGTGAATGAGCCTCAGTAGTACAAGCGCGTCTCTGTGCATGAGCCTGGGGCCTCCTGGGCCTCCTGAAAAGAAAACCTCTGGGGCGTTCCTGCGTGGTCTCCAGGCAGGAGCCTCTTGGGACCTGGGACCTCCTAGGACCTCCTTGAAGGTTTTTGTGTATTGTGCCCCAGGGAGGCGCAATCTATAGAACAACAACGTACATAAAACATTAACATTAAAAACATTGCGGATTAGAGCCACAGGAGAAGGGCAATCTATAGGAACACGCGTAAAACACCAAGGACTCGTGCCCCAGGAGAGGCCCAATATATAGGAACATGAGTAAAACATTTAGGATTGTGTACACAGGCGAAGGACCATCTATAGAAACATACGGAGAACATCAAAGAATCGTGCTCCAGGTGAGGCCCAATCGATAGGAGCATACGTAAAACACATGGGATTGGAGCCACTCCTGTTGCCTTCTGATGCCTCCTGCTCCTGGGGCCTCTCGGGGCCTCCTGTTGCCTTCCGAGGCCTCCTGGCGCTTCCTGTTGTCTCCTGGGGTCTCCTGTGGTTTCCTGAGGCCTTCTGAGCTTCCTGGGGCCTCCTGGAGCCTCTTGGGACATCCTGTGGCCTCTTGAGTCTTTCTGTGGCCTCCTGATGCCTCCTGGGACCTCATGTGGTCTCCTGGAGCCTCCTGGAGCCTGTTGTAGCCTCCTGTGGCATCCTGAGAAGAATCTGCGCCCACGAGCCTGGCCACCAAACCTAGCAAACCGATCGAGACATCCTCAAAATCTGGCCCACCTGGGGGGTGAAAATGAGCGCCTCGCTCGAGACATCCTCCAAATCTGCTCCGAAAGCGAAGGATGTTGGGCACAGAAACAGGCAAACCGCCTGAGACATCCCCACAAATGGCCGCGAACGAGCCCGTGCAACCACCCCTGGCGGCTCCCCTTAGGGCCACGAGCCTGGCCACCAAAACAAGCAAACCGATCGAGACATCCTCAAAATCTGGCCCACCTGGAGGGTGAAAATGAGCGCCTCGCTCGAGACATCCTCCAAATCTGCTCCGAAAGCGAAGGATGTTGAGCACAGAAACAAGCAAACCGCCTGAGACATCCCCACAAAATGGCCGCGAACGAGCCCGTGCAAACACCCCTGGCGGCTCCCCTTAGGGGTGCTGAAATGAGCGCCTCGCTCGAGACATCCTCTAAACCTGCTCCGAAAACGAAACATGTTGGATCAGAAAATGGCCAAACCGCCTGAAACATCCCCACAAAATTCCGCGAACGGGACCCCGTGAAATACCCCCCCCGCCGCCCCCCTTAGATTGCTGAGACGAGCGAATCGCCTGAGTCTGAGTGATGACTGAGTCTGAGTGATGAGAGAGCATGAGTGAGTCTGAGTGATGAGTGAATCTGAGTGGTGAGTCTGAGCGATGAGTGGTGTGTCTGAGTGAGGACTGAGTCTGAGTGATGAGTGAGTCTTGATGAGTGAGTCTGAGTGATGAGTGTGGTGTTCTGTCCTGTTCTGTGTTCTTCCGGCGCGGTCCGCCAATAACAAGAACCCCATCTTTGGATATGGGGAATAATGATGATAATAATACGAATAAGAAGACGAATACGAATAACAATACTTACTAAGACGAAGGAATAATAATACGAAGAAGAAGAATACTACTAATAAGACGAACAATAATAATACCAATACTTATAATAACAATACGAATAATAATACTAATAAGAATGATAATAGGAATAAGAATAAGACGCATACAACCAAGACGGATATTATCACTAATAATACTAATATTAATAAGAATAAGAATAATCATCATATTAATAATACTAATACTAATACCAATAATAATAATACGAATAATAATACTATTAATAATAATAATAATGACACTAATACTCATAATAATAAAAATATTAATAATAATAATCATACCAATAATAACAATAATAATAGTAATAATAATGATAATAATAATACGAATAAT